AATCCGAAAGGATTACTAGGGAAAGGGAGTTCACATTCATTCCATGCATACATGCAAAGCAAAAACGACAATGAAAATCCGAGGCGCTTTACAAGGAGAAGTTCCAAAACGCCGCGATAAAATCGGCCATACCAGGATCCAAAATTATACAGAGGAATAAAGAAAGGAACCTCATCCCACACCCACAACTGCTCCCTCTCTCTCTCTCTCGACGCAGGCAGTCCGTCGCCTCGCATCCACACAGAGTTGTCACCCCGCTTAGTCCGAATATGCAATGATCGAGCCAAAATTCCCAATGCCCACAGCAGAACAAGAAAGAAGCTATGGCACAAATATTTTTCGCGCTCGCCAAGGCGCGACTACCCAACCGTTGGCACGAGACTTTCCCGCCACCGATCCGACAATTTCCAGCAGAAAACAAAAAGAAACGAGGGCATCCATGCAACTGGCCCGCCCGACCCATCTTCCCGCATCTCACCCATTTGACCCGTCGTATTTCCCCAAGCAGCTTCGTGCAGAAAGTCGCGCAATTACAAAAAATAGTTCGTCACAACGCTTGACGTGGGAATGCAACGTTACCACTTCAGCACGAGTAAGAGCAGCTAACACTCCTACTGACTCGAGGTGTTTCCTTGCGAAGTGCTCGCAAAAGCATTGCCAGGGTTCGAAGATAAGCCCACCGCCGTTGGAGAGGCTACCTTCGTTGTGACTTTCTTGCCTCGGCACGTTCGAGATGTGTGGCCATAGTTGCCACAATTCATGCACGTGCCCCTAGCAACTCTGTCTCTCCACAGCTCGTAGTCTAACCCAAGTTTTACCCATGCGAGTGTTCCTTGGTCGCCCTGACCCATAGACAGGCCTACCTTCTTCTTCCCGGTCCTCCTAGCCGTTTCTTTGATAGGTGCCACGGCTCCCCCATCCGAAATCTCATTGGCCCCATCATGCTCTATCTCATCCCCAAGGTTTGAGAAGACGTCAATTTCAGTCGTCTGACCATCATGGTCGACGAACATTAGTGAACCTTTCTTTTTCCAATCTTGGGGAAGTCTCTTCTTCCTACCATCTCCCTGACTCTGATGCGCGGACCCAAGCTTTGCCTCTATATCTAAGGCTTTCTTGCTGAAAGAGGCGAAGTTATGTTGGTCGACGTAGGCCTCGTCTGCCAGCTTATTTTTGACATCTATGGGCAGACATCTCAAATAATTTGTGAGGAGTACCTACTGGTCGTAGCGTTCACTTGGTACCACGAGTAGACGTTCTACGATGTCTGTGATCTCGCGGACATTCTTGTACCTTTTGGCACAAAGATTGTTGATCGCGTCGGTGGCCTTCTGAGCCCCGTGAGGGTCATGCCACCTATTGTACACAGTCCGTACGAAGTCCTCCAATGTCTGGGCCTGGGCCCAGGCATCGAAATTTTGACTGTAGCCCTGTTGTTGCGCTAAGCCATTCAACCAACGCGCTGCCGATCCCTCTAAAAAGGAAGCAGCAACTATGACTTCCTGCTCTGGCATGGTGAGCTTATGCCTCACATAAGTGGGCACAGTTCTCACCCAGGTGTCCAGGTCCTCGTCCTTCTTCCTGTCGCCAGAGAAGGGCTTTGGACTCAGCAAGGGAATCTTGGGCATCCACTGCATAGGCTGGATTTGCCCAGGTGATTGCTGCAGTGGTTGCATAGCCACTGAGACAGGTTGCTGCACGCTAGGCTGCGGCTGTCCAGACAATGGCACTTGAGCTGCCACCGTCCTTGATGGTACGAGAGAAGAAATCAGAACCTGACCACTAACTACTGGTTGACTACCTGAAAGAGGAATGCCCTAAATAGGAGAGAAAGAGGGCCCTATCGGTGACGGCGTCACTGAGGGACCCGCAACCGAAGGGGCAGCTACAGCATTTTGAGGCTGCCTCATCACTGGACGAGGAGCTTGCAGTGCGGCCATAATTCGATTCTGGCCATCCATTAGTTCGACCAGCACTTCCTGCTGGACAACCTGCGTTTCTGCCACACAAAGGAGTGAGCGACGCAACGCTCGCATTGCAGGGTCAAGTGTCGACTCGTCTAGTGCCACTAGATTCTTAACTCTTGCCTCCTAGCTCCTAGTCTAGCTTTTCTAGTGATAGCCCTTTGTCTCCTCTCTGCTGCATCTCTCAATTGCTGCTGTAGTTGATCATGCAGTTCTTCCGCTTGGAGGATCTCATAATCCTCAGGTGTGAGCCAACAGATTGACTAACGAAACTCTGAGAGATACCTTGACTGACACCTGACGAAGAGGCCTGGGACAATGTCACTGTAGAGGAGGTAGCCATCGCAACCTCAACCTGAACTCTTAGCGTCCGCTAGTCTTGCTGCTGCAAGTGTCCGTTCAGCATTGGTTGCCGCTGTCCTAGCCCTTTCTAATGTTGTCCTTTCCCTGGCTTCCCTTCGCAGCCGCCTTTCCTTCCCCTGGCCTAACTCCAAGAAGGTAATCGGTTGACTGAGTGCAGTTCTACGAGTCACTCTAAGATGTTCCACTACTAGTTCCTCCCCCTCACTACCGCCTGCATCACTCATCAGCTACAGTGTGTGTGATCTGAACTAGAGTCCACACTGAATCCTACCTCATCATAACACACAACCGGGTATGGACAATCAACTAATTCTGGTCAGCCTAGAGAGAAGTAGTCAAGTGGTAACCAGCAATCAATGTCGGGTCCTACAGGTAAGTTCAATTCTGTTTTTAGATTACTCTAACACAGAATGCAATGCAGCAAGGAAGGAACTAACCTATCTGCAGATGTCTGCCAGTTGTTAACAAGTCCGTACAACTAAGTAACCAAAATAAAAATAATTACCTGTGGAGATGCATATTGGATGGCAATTCATCTAATTAGTACCACAGCGAACCATTACCGGAATCCCCCGTCTCCCTGTATCCTTCTTGAGTTGTCACTTTGTGTCAACGGCCTGAGCATCTGGTTGAGCGGCGTGTCTGAAGGTGTGCAATCCGGCCCACCCCTGTGCCTCAAGTCTATGCCGAACCTGCCAGCCCCTGCACTGTTTTTTACCCTCGCATGCAACGAGCCTTACATCCGGTTTGATCTGGCTGATCAAGAGGCAGTTTAAGGACGGCCCCCAAGGTCCTCAGGAATTATTTAACGTCGCAGACAGGACGACGATCACAGCCAGAGTCAACACCGAGTCGCACCAGAAATATTTATAGACGGTCTGGTGAGCATCTGTTCAAAGGGCTGGCATGCCCTGCATGACCTCTATTGCGCAGCAGAAGAACCAAGGACGTGCGGCAAACCATGCGTGTACTAGTCCCAGTGGGTTGGCATGGTGATTGTGACCCGAGTGCTTCATCCAGGGCCCTTCAGAGGCTTCGCCCGTCTCCCATCAGCTTGCTGCCCAGGAAGAATGTCGACTCTCAAGGTTGAGCGCTCACGACACCTCACATTGAGAGGACTCTCAAGACAGAACTCACTTCCTCACGGTAAGAAGTAATGAAGAGGGTCGATAAGGAAGAGAGCAACGTACCTTATAATGCTGCCCCCAACCACAGATTTCTCACCGGCAACCTGATGTGCATTTATGATGACCGGCCTTTGCCTCGGCACAACCAACAGCAGAATGCAGTTCCACCTCGGCTTAAGTGCCACATCAGCGAGCTCTCATCATCCAGCGTACACCCCTAATGTCACCACATAGCTTCCTGGCGCGCCCACACGACCCTGGGCGGCCTACCGTTCAACGCCCAAGCCTTATCACTGCCCCACCCCTCATGCAAAGCACCAAACAGCTATTGCTAAGAACCAATCAAGCGCAGTTCGAACCAGCTCCGATACCAAATTGCAAGGAAAATGAGCAATAGCGAGATGACAATAACTAGAATGCACAATCACATTGAAGGCCAGATAGTATCACAGTGTCCAGAAAGCAGAAATGCACCAATATAACACCAATGAAGAATCGTAACACTGAAAACCAATGTCAATGAGAGCTTGCTCTCGCCACCACCAACACGAGTGTCCAGGCCTTATCTCCCTACTTGGCGCTCGGCACCCAGCCTGCTTCCTACAAAGCTACTGTCTGCCTACTAATTGACAATGCAACTGTTGACGTCAGCAGCTCACGAAGTACTTGTAGATGTCGCCCATGCAGACCATCGCCAATACCAGGTATGTGCCCTCACATCATCATCATCATCATCCTTCTCTCTCTCCCCTGTCTTACACCCACGTCTTTCCTCTGTACACCCGAAGACCACCCCTGCTCCTCACTTTACAACCAATCCCTCAGCCAGCTATGGAGGCTGGGCTATGACGCCACCCTCAGCAGCGCCCTGTTTCCACACACGACCGCACGTGCGCAGCACCTTGCTCCGGCGCTAGCAGCCAGCACGCGAGCAAAAGCTCCAGCAGCGCTGCCGCCAGCCAGTTAGTGCCTGAATGAATCTCCAGGCAGCGAGCTGTTTCCTATATGGAAAGAGCCTGCCTGCCTTCGCAGCCTGGCTGGCCTGGGCCTCGGCCCAGAAGCTTCTGGTAGGCCCCAGTATGCTGCGCCTGCGTTGCAGCCACTGGGCCTCGTTCGGTTGGGCCTCCCAACTGTCTGTGTATGAGGCTGTGATTCTCGCCCAGGGCCTGCGTTTTTGGAAAGGCCCGGAAGGCCGTGGAATGTCTTCGCTGTTCGGCCTGTGTTTCCGTCAACCAACTGGCGTGTCACAACTGCCTGGACCCCAAATACGAATTTGGCAGCTGACGGCCTCTTGTGATTTGTTAGGCCCGCCTTCCCTTAGGGCAGACACATCTGCAGCAGGGGCCCCTTAGGCCTGCTGAGGACCCAGATCCTCGCATGTGTTAAATTGTTATTAATTAATGAATTAATAAATTAATTAGTTACTCTTATATCTTGTTCGTGTGTTTGTTTGTCTTTCTGTATGTGTGTTGTTTGCTTTTTTTTTTGCGTAATTAAATTAATTACTTACTTGATTCCTTTGATTCATTGATTAATGGAATTGCAGGGGAAATACAAGACGATATTGTACGTGTCTATGATTTATTGCTTTGGAAATTGGGTAATGGCGGGATCGGCCGTCGTTCCAAGTTTGGCGGGAAAAGATTCTATAAATCAGGCCTATTGGGTCGCAGTGGCGGGATTAGGTTTGATTGCCCTAGGCACGGGAGGCATCAAGCCCTGCGTGTCGGCATACGGAGGGGACCAGATCGAGTTGGGCATCCCACCCAGCCCTGCACGGGACGTACTTTTAAGGAGGTTTTTTTCCGTCTTTTATTTCTCTATTAATGCCGGCGCCACCCTTTCCACCATCCTGACGCCCAAAATCCGACAGTATGCCTCCTACTCTCTCGCGTTCGGGATCCCGGCCGCGCTGATGATGGTCGCGCTCTACTTGTTTTGGATGGGTCGTAATGAGTACCTCAATCAGCCTCCTGGTGGGAACGTGATTGGTGACGTCATCAAAATTATCTACAGCGCGTGCAGAAATCGAGGAGGAAGAGGAGGAGAGGGGAAGCACCTGAAAGTGGGTGAAGATCGGGGTCGGGATGGTGATGGCGGGGTGCGACGTGATGATGATAATGGGCCGCTTTTGATAAAACGTGGTGGGAAAGATGAAGACGAAGAAGAAGAAGAAGAAGAAGCAGTGGCTATGGCGGCTGTTTCTTCTGCTGCGGCGGCGGCGATGGCAGGGCATGAGCAGGAGGAGGAGGAGGGTAAGCATGAGGTTCGGTTTTTGGCGGGAAAAAAGCATGGAGGGAACGGGAAAATTTGGCAGGAAAATGGCTCCCATCGTCATTGGTTGGATGGCGCGAAGGCTGAGTATGCAGATTCTAAGGTAGAGGATGTGAAAGCCTTGGGGAGAGTGCTCCTCCTCTTTTTACCTGCTCCCATCTTCTGGTCGCTCTTCGATCAACAATCGTCGCGATGGGTGTTTCAGGCAGAGCGAATGGATGGAAGATTCTTTTTCGGTTGGAAGATTGAGCCTGATCAGATGCAGGTAATTTTTTTTTTTTTTCTTTACTGTTTGCAGTTGTTTGTTATCTTATTCTTTTAAGCTGTGTTGTCGCGGCAGCGCGAATGGATGGAAGGTTCTTCGAATAAAAAAGATTGAACCTGATCAGATGCACGTGTATGGTTCTGTTTTTTTTTACTATGGTTAATATGGTTGAATTTGTTTTGGTAACCTTGTGTCTGGATCCCGGTTGGTTTTGTCCCGTTGTTCGGTCTATTTTGGGATGCGTAGTTGGCATCTTTATGACCAGGTTCATGCTTCCATGTGGGACCAGTCATCCGCGGGTTCTTTTTTATCGTCTTGGCACCCTGGTTGGTTGCTTCTTCTGTTGTTCGGCCTGTGGTGAGGGGGGGGGTGCGTTTATGTGGGAATCGTCATCGGGCAGTGTCTTGAATGCTTTTTGTCCCCGTACGAACGGTTTACAAACGGGAATACCAACGTCTTGATGACGTATAGGCCATCTGCTGTATATCTGTCTCTTATACACATCTAGATGTGTATAAGAGACAGGTATTATGTGTGTCACTCTCATAGTGTATCTGGACTGGATTCGAACTCGAGTCTGTATGTATGTCACTCTGAGATAGTGTATCTGGCTTCGATCTNGGGCGGTGCTTACACAACATGCATTTGGACGCTTTGTGGACCAGGTGCATTCAGACGAGTTTGAACTTCACACATTTTGAATGTTTCGGGTCCATAAACCATCTAGATGCAACGCCCTTTGTTTTGATCTTTGCTCTTATATTATCTCTGTCTTGTTCTTTGTCCTGTTCTTACCTTTTTTTGTCCTCATGTTGTCCTTCATTTTTAATCTTGTTCTTATCTGTTTGGCTTGGCATGCAGGTTATGAATTCGGTCTTCATTCTGATATTGATTCCTCTTTTTGACTTTATTATTTATCCGGCGGCGCAGAGATGCGGCCTTTCGGTGAAGCCGGTCAGCCGGATGGTAGCCGGGCTGCTAATGAGTACGTTTGCGTTTCTGATATCTGCCGCGCTCGAGTATCGGATCGCCCCCGAGGGGGAGCCTGCACATACACACAGTGGCCCCTCGTCGTCTCCGTGCGAAGCGAACGGAGCCGCCTGTGTGCACATCTTGTGGCAGGTCCCACAGTATCTTGTAATTACATGCGGCGAAATTCTTTTCAGCATTACCGGGCTCGAGCTCGCGTACTCCCAAGCGCCCGCGTCCATGACGGCAGTCGTTCAATCTTGCTGGCTCCTTACTGTGTCAGCTGGTAAGTTTGCGTGCATGTGTCTGTGTGCGCGCGCGCGCGCGCGCGCGCGCGTGTGTGTGTGTGTGTGTGTGTGTGTGTGTGTGTGTGTGTGTGTGTGTGTTGTCATATTCACTATACACTCAAAAAAAGCATGACTGTGCTGAACAGACTGTTTCGTCGGACTTTCACCGACTCATCAGGTGTGTGTGTGTGTGTGTGTGTGTGTGTGTGTGTGTGTGTGCGTGCCTTCATCATCCGTCCCATCCCGTTCCGTTCCGTCCCGTTCCGTTCCGTTCCGTTCCGTTCTGTTCCATCCGGTTCCGTTCTGTTCCATCCGGTTTCGTTCTGTTCGATCCGGTTCCGTTCCGTTCCGATCCGTTCCGTTCTCAGTGGCATAGCTAATCTCATCCCCAGCAGTGCAGCCCAGCTTAGCCTGCTGAGATACTAGGGGCTTAGAGTGTTGTAAGCTGAGATAGCAGGCTGAGGTACTAAGCTGAGATACTAAGCTGACATATATGAAGCAGGAAAACTAAGCTGAGGTACTAAGCTGCCAAGCTGAGATACTGAGCTGAGAATCCATGCTGCCAAAGTGAGATACTAAGGTGATGTACTAAGGTGAGATACTAAGGGGAGATACTAAGCTCCTTAGCTTAGTGCAAAAATAGCACGTCAGCTTAGTATCTCAGTTTGGCAGGTGAGAACGATTCGGCTATGGTTCATGCATGCTAACGAAACTGTTACAGGAACATAACCATCTTTATGACCAGGTTCATGCTTTCCAAGATGCGCAAACGTAGGCCCCGGGGGACTGACCCTTAGTCTCGCAGTCTACCATGGTCTTGCAGCCGAGTGTCGCTGCTTCGTTTCATTACTTAGTTTTGAACTCCTTAGTTCCGCTACTTAGTTTCGCTGCTGCAGCTTAGTGTCACCGCTTTGTTCCGCTACTTAGTTTTCCTGCTCAGTTTTTTTGTATTTATTTGTATAATAAAGGGTGGCGACGGCTGGAAAAAAAAAAGTCAACAGAGGTATGAACACCGGACTATCTGGCCGCAGATAACGCTGAGGGCGAGATCCCACTGGCAAAGAGGATTGTAGTAAGTGTCTGAATGTGGACGTGTTTGTGGACGGGTGAAAATTTGTGATTGATCTACCTTTCTGCATCTCTGTGGGGAACACGTCCAGATTCAGACTCTTATTCCAATCCTCTTTGCCTTATCTTTGAGTTTGGTGATAGCTCACCAAAGGGTGTCTATGGGGTATAAGCGGGGTTTGAAAGGGCTCGAAGGGCCTTAAAGGAGGCTTAAAGGGGTATATATGATATAATTTAGTATTGTATTTTTTTAATTTTATTTTCGGATTCCATAGCCAATTTTGTGGTCACCCACCCTCAGGCAAAAGATGTTTGGTTTCCAATTCTGCATGACATGATATTTTTCGGTTTTTTTTTTTTTTTTTTTTTTTTTTTTTTTTTTTTACGCTACGTGGCGTTTCTAGATTTTCGAAAGTGTCTCCCTCGCGGCTGCCACGTGGCTCCAAAGCCCCGCGTCCGCGGGGTCAGTGGACTGGCCGCGTCCGCGAACTTGGCCGCGGATGGCCGCCGCCGAGGGGGATTCGTAGATCAACCGCCATCTTGGAGCTTACCA